GCTAAGTATTAATATTCATACAATCCATGATGATGCTTAATTGTCCCAAAATGAGTTTTTATCCAAGTACAGATTTACCTCATTTGCATGATCTATTTCATGACTGGTATAATAATGCAATTGTACAGGTGTACCTCTATTGTACATGACTACATCAATCATTCATGTGTATATTTGCAGTCATTGTCCACACAAAGCATTGTCTGTCCAGATCAGTCAATCTGCATGGATGGCTGTACATGTTGTCCAGTGTCTACTGGAGGTTTTGGAGGCTGTCCTTTAGCCAAAGCAGTCTGTTGTGCAGATGAACAACACTGCTGTCCAAATGGTTATAAATGTAGTTTGTCAGATGGTTCCTGTTACCTTGCTAACATAATACTCCCATGGGTTGAACATGCTCCAGCTGTTCCTATAGATAAGGTACTTGATGCTCTTGTTATGAATTGGTGGCATTGTCTGTCTGTCCTAAGTTTCCATGTCATGTTTGTCTGTGGAGCTATTAGTCTCGGTCTATCTATCCATATATCATTTGCAATGTCTAAGTCCTGCATATATGATAGCCCTATTACTGAGAATCCATGACTGTTAATTTCTGTAACTTGCTCTTGCATTCTTTCTTTGGTAAACTGTTTATACATGTACATTGGTTGAGTAATTAATGTCTTGCATCATTTCAGAATGTTGAAGTTGTTGTATGCCCTGGTGGTAAACAGGAATGCCCCTCACAGATGACTTGTTGTTCAGTACACAGAGATTTATATGGATGTTGTCCGGTGCCTGATGTAAGTTTTTTAACGTCATGATTATGTTTGTAGTTAGGTGCCGTAATGTTCAGTGTATCTAAAATCGAAGATGGAATTGTTGGGATATAGGATATTGTTCATCTGCATTCTATTAGCCTCTTCAAATTTATTTTTGAATTTTTTCCCATGGCAACAAATTTGTTTTTCTTCTAAATGATACAGGCGGTTTGTTGTGATGACAAAATTCACTGCTGTCCCAAAGACTATACATGTAAGGATAGCCGCTGTCTTAATGGAGATATTAACTTGCCGATGTTGGAACGTGTCTCGGCTAAATACACCCACAAAGTAGGTCAATGAAAGTTGAGAATTGTATAAATAAATCTGTTACATTTGTGATAATGTAAATATTATATTGTGAATGTTCCTGGGAGGAGGGGGGTGCTACGTCACCAAACGTTCTACATTGCTCGGATGCGAACCATTGTACAATGCATTTCTATGGGCTCTGTGTGAGCTGTTGTGGAACGCCGGTCGACGCGTTGGTGAAAACAGTTGAAGTCAAAAAAAGGCACATACCAACCTTGCAGCAATCCAAATTGTAATGTTGCATATGAGGTATTCTTGTCATACTGTTAGTCTCAACAATTAGTCCGGAAGTAAGGTTTTCTGAGTTTTCGGCAGCTGTTGTCAGGCGATGCAAATGCCCAGATACTTAAATCAACAAACTGGTTTATATTATTTTGTTAATGTACATGCATGAGCTTTTACAATTAGTAACTGCTATTTGAGTTCATGGTCACATTTACATGGGTTTGTTGCTTCCAATGTGTGCCTAAAGTAAATACCGTATGCAAGGCAATGTAAGAGTGAATAAGTGAAAAAAAAATTGTTAGGGTTTAATCTCTATCTTTTTTAGTCCCCGTTCTGACGAAGTCCGAAAACAGGGACATACAATTCGGTGTCCGTCCGTCCATGCCCTCCGTCCGTCCATGCCCTCCGTCCGTCCATGCCCTCCGTCCGTCCATGCCCTCCGTGCGTGCCTCCGTCCATGCCCTCCGTCCGTGCCTCCGTCCAGAGTCATATCTCAGAATCCCTTGGACCGATTCCGCTCATTCTTTGTATGTGCCTAGTACTTTATGTGGGACATGTGCACATGCACTGGTTTAGCGATTCAATTCAAAATGGCCAACTGGCAGCCATCTTGTTTTTTGAAAATGTTGCATTTTGGACATGCTTTGTCAGTTGTCATTCAAACTTGGTACATAGATTATACATGTTAGGATACATGTCCATGACGATTTATTTCGCAATTGGATCAAAGATCGTCGACTGGCAGGCATCTTGTTTTTGTTTTTTTATGCAGTATCTTGGACGTGCTCTGTCAGTTTTCATTCATTTGGCACATACATGTACTTTATACATGTTAGGATGCATGTCCATGACAATTTGTTTCAAAATCTGGTCAAGGATGGCCGATTGGCAGCCATCTGACTTTTTGGCCTTACTACTATATTTCCACAATTTATGTATCATTTTTATTCGTATTTGGCACATACATCATACATATCAGTGTGGTTCATAATCAGATCAAAGATGGCCGAGTAACGACTGTTTTTATTTTTGGCCATATTACTACTACAAGAATTCGTTTTGATGTAAATAAAAATCTGTCGTATACGCCACTTGGAACTCAAGTTTCAAGGACACGCTCGCGACAACTCTTTGCTTTAATATGACGAGCACAAAGAGAACTTTCAAAAATTTAGGGGGACTGTGTCATTTTCAATGACTTGTTCTAGTGTAGTTTGTACTGCATGACTTTTTTGTCTTCTTAAATAGAATCGCACATTCAATCCTTTTCAGTTTTCACAAAAAAATTAAACCTAGCGCTATTGGCTTCGTATACTTGTTCATGAAACTTGAATTTTTTTAAATTTCAATTTATTTTATTAGGTAGAGTCAGTGATGTGCCCAGATGGTCAGTCTGAGTGTCCAGATGGGAGCACATGTTGTATATTAGCCAGTGGTCAATATGGATGCTGTCCTTTACCAAAGGTGAGTTGAATGGACACGGCTAACACACACAAGTTTGGTTAAATGGCCACTTAAAAGTCCAAAGAAAGAACTGGTTGGCAAACGCACAGCTATAGCTGTTCAAGTCATTTCCGTGTTCATTTGTGAACCCGAGAAACAACTTTATTCCTTGATACAATGTCAAGTAGAAAACTTTTGACCAATTAGCGTTTAGCATGGCAAGTTCACTACCATTCTATATTCAGCTTCGTTATTTGTCACTTTTTCTTTACCATTCCACTGTATTTACCTATACCTTACTCAACCAAGTTTTATTATAGTTTAGTTGGACACAACTCCCTCAGTTATCACCCACAATGCATGTACATTTACAAATATCAACAATTATATGGATTTTTATTTTAAAATTGTTGTCAGAATAGGGTTTGATGACCAAGTTATCGTTTCCATGGACAAAGTTTCCTTGCCCTTTTCACTTCACAAAATATCAAAGTTCAATGCTTTTTAATTTTCTGTATTTTTACAAGTTTCCATCTTTATATTTACATTAAACTAAATTACTTCAGATAAACCAGTTTGTTTCATCATTAATTATTTCTAACTAGGCTGTATGTTGTGATGATCACCAACACTGTTGTCCTAATGGCTACAAATGTGACACGGCAGGAGGATCATGTCAGAAAGGAGATGACGCCATACCCTGGTTAAAGAAACACAATTCTATTCCGATGTCTGGTAACGTAAAGTGCCAGGATGGTTCAGAGTGTCCTAGTGGTAGTACATGCTGTAAACTGCCTACTGGGGACTATGGCTGCTGCCCATATCTTGATGCTGTCTGCTGCAACGATGGTCTACATTGTTGTCCTAAAGGTTATACTTGTAATACCAAGGAAGGAACGTGTCAAAAGGCATCAATTAATATGTTGCCCTGGGTGAAGAGTTCAGAAGGTCTGGTTGATCTGGTTACCTGCCCTGACAAGGCAAAATGTCCTGATAAAACGACATGTTGTCAGTTGCCATCTGACAAGTATGCCTGCTGTCCATTAGAACATGTAAGTATGGATGTCAGGTGACTATTATGCAGTGTTGTTATGCTGTAGTGTTACAAGTGCCTCCTCTGCAAAGAAGAGGTTAAATGTTTTGATAGACATGTACAACTGTTCATCCTGGTCTATACCCCTTATATGAATCAATATTCATTGTTCATATTTTTTCAGGCTATTTGTTGCGAGGATAAGATACACTGCTGTCCAGATTATTTGACATGTGACATGCCATCTGGAAAGTGTGTTCGCAAATCCATCATATCTATTCCATGGATGGAGAAAATCCCTACACTTATAGATTATG